TTCACTGAGGAAATATGTTTCCAGCTTGTTATTTTGCACCTCGTTGTCCGACACACACAGGTTTTCTTTTTCTGTAATTCTGTTTTCTGCTCTCTGGTCTCTGCCATCAGTGCGAAGTGAGAGAGGCTCAAGATTGATTTTTTAGGTCTAGAATCTTTTGAACCACCTGCATTTTATTAGAAATATTTGCCAGGGAGATGGCTCAGTGGAATAAGCACTTCCTTGGCATGCGCAAGGGCCTGAGTTCAATCCCTGGTTCCGCCAAAAAAAAAAAAAATATATATATATATATATATAGAAATATTTAATTATATTTCCATTTATGACATGAAATTAGAACCCTAACGTTTTCATCCGACTACTTGATTAGCTGGCCCAACATGCGGGTTAAAGGCCAAGCAGAGATGGGGCCTCGCCACGCTGGTGCCAGAGTACTGACATTCAGAGTGCGCACTCACCGCTCATGTTTAAATCTTCTCTCCTGTTGCATCACATTCCCAGAGGGTCCCGAAGGCCCCATATTGTTTTAATTATTGACACATAAATGAAGTTCTAATGTGGGATAGGACAAGACCCTCCCTTTTTTCAAAATCAAGGACTCCACTTTAGTGCCCTCCCAGGTGAACTTTGTAAAGTTTCCCTAAACATGTTAGTATTTTGACTGGCACTGTGTGAAGCTTATTCATTAATCTGCATCGTTCTGATCTTAAGCGCCCCACCCTTTTGGCCAGTTGGAAGTATTTTGTCCTTCCTCTGAACTCCCGTAGCATGTTTTACCTTTAAAAAAAAAATGGTGTTTGTAAATAGGATATCAAGCCCACATCTTGAACAGCAATTAACCACTAAGAAGAATGTAGGCAGTGTGTTAATTATTTAAACTGTCCTACCGATTTGATTTGAAACTGTCTCATTGCTATTTGTTTATCAATAAAATTATGGGAAAAAAAACCAAAAAAAAGAATCTAAACTAGACCCGCCCAGTTTTTCAACCGTGAAACCCGATCAGCGGTCCTTCCCCTCCCCTCCCCCTGCACCCATCAATCAATCAGCAAGTCCCTTCAATGCTGCCTCCTACACTGCACCCACTTCTCCCTTGTACTTGGGCAAGAGCTGCGAAAACGCCTGGGTGGGGTGTGCACCTGCCTCCCTTCTAGCTCCTACCCAGCTTCTCTTTAGTTCATCACTTTTGTCCTGGTGATGACCATCAAATGCCTCACATGCTCTTTCCCACCTCAGCCCTTTGCACATGCTGCTGCCTCTGTCTGGACTGCTCTCGGTTAGCCCTCACCTCTCAGCTGAAGATGATGCGATTCCCCTCATGCGTATTCCCAGCACCCCTCCTGACTCCATTTTAAAGCTCAATCCCTTACAATTCCTGCTTAAATCAGTTTCCATGATAATACATTAAGGATGACAACAAAAGCATGACTTTTGATGGATACTTTTTGAATGCAACATACAACCCCCACCCTGCCCATGTCCAACTTGGGTGCTTTCCTTGGACCTGTGAGCTTGTGAGAAGAGGGACCTCGGCTTTCAGCAACACTGAGAGCAGGTCGATGTGACACAGGCTTGAAATCACCATGACAAGAGTATTTGCAAGAAGGGAATTACTCAATGCTACAAACGGACACTGTACTTTATAACCCTCTTTTCCCTGGAGAGCTGGCTGGTGAACCTTTACCGGCCCACCCCTGTTTTCAGTCATGCTGTCACTTAGTCCCCTCCAAAGCTTCCTGGGCCAGGCAGCCCACCTTCTAAGAAGGGAGAAAGAACTATTGTGGAAGCAGGGGAAGCGGTGACTCAGGCACTCTGCCCACCTTCCCTCCTATCACTGCATCACAGTGCCTCAGAAGACGGCGCCCTGCCATGTGATGTGGCCCCGGTGTGCCCGGAACCCAGCACGATGCTGAGCTACATGGGCACGCTCAGCACGTGCATTCCACCACAGGAGTCCCCTGTGTCTCAGCAGAGAGTGCAGTCACATCCCAACACAACACCTATGAGTCTAGTTCCTTTTTCTAGGCTCTGTGTTTCCAAGAACTATAGACCACAGTCTCCTCTGTCTTGTCTAGAAAGCCCCTGGTTTGCTCTCTGTTGTCACTGCATTTGTAACTCTTCTACGCCGACCTCTTCTTCAGCCTCCCCAAGTTCCTTGCTCAGCATCCTGACAGCAGCCCTTGGAGTGTTTACATCTCTTGTGAGACTTAATCTAGTTATCTACCATAAACTGGAGGTAGCTCTCTCTTCTCCTAGAAGTATAAGTGGCTAGAAGTATACTGATATTGCTCTTGTTCTTTGAGCACATGTTTGTTAAATGAATGTATGAATTCAGAGATTTGCAGCTCACTGGTCAGAGGTCCAGCCAAAGGGTGGCTGTCTAAAAGTACAGCCAAGAGTGGAACCTCTGCATTAGAGGAAACTTACACACACACACACACACACACACACACACACACACACACACACACACACAGAGGCTCCAAAGGGCTACAGTCCCACACAGAGCTGAGATCAGTCTTTATTTCCATAGAGAGTTGAGTGCTAGCTGCAACATGCCAGCTATTAAAGCCCCCGGATCCTCACAGACCAAACTTGTCGTCCATGTCCAAGAGGTGTCCTTGAAGCGCTGGGGAGGCCAGAAGCCCTGTCTGGGGAAGGCATCCTGCCCCACCTCTCCCGATCACCTCCTGTTGCTTTCCTGCCCACCGAGCCCCCGGGTCACACCATGCCCTGCCTCATTGGCACCAGGCTCTGTCCGACTGCTCACTCTGCAGTCTTGCTGTGCTTCCTGCTGGGGACACTGCCCTTGAACACACAACCAAAGCATGGGCTTCCTGGGTACTGCTGCTGTGAACGCCAGTGAACCAGTCAGAAAACCCAGCCCCAAGGAGTCCCTGGACAAGAAGGAGATGGCATGAAGAAGCTAGAGAGGAGGGCAGGGAGACAGACAGAAGGGGAGGCAGCAGAATCCTGCTGTGGCTGGTCCTTCCCACCACTCCAGTCTCAGCTCACTATGCCTTCCTCGGAGAGGCCTGCCTGGCCATCTTGCCCAAGGCCACCTCCTCCCCTCACTTTTCACTCTCTGAAGCTCATTTTCCTCGCCATCTATCTCTCCCTCTAGAATGCAAGCTTCATTGAGATGAGGGGCTGGACTCCACTCACTCCTGCAGCTCAGACTGGAGTTGCACTACCCCACGGGGACATACTATGAACACCACCCGGAATGAGTGAATAAGCTCTGTCCCTTTGGAGCTAGTGGCGACTTTTTTTTTTTTTTTTTTTTTACTGTGTCTGCCTTAGACTCTCACATCCACTAAATAAAACACTGGAGCTGCACTGATCTCAGGAGAGCAAACACAAAGGAAAAGATGTGAAATAAGGGGGTCAGGGAGATGGCTCAGTGGAATAAGCGCTTCACTGGCAAGAGCAAGGGCCTGAGTTCAATCCCCAGTTACACAAAAAAAAAAAAAAAAAAAAAAGATGCACCTGAACATTATCCCTCCCACCTATTTCTAATCCTTCCCTAACCAGATGAACACACTTTAACCTGAGAAAGGACTTGGAGTTAAATAAGGTTACACTACATGCAACAAAACTGCACTACGAGAGTGCGCTGCACCTGACCTGCTCTCTTGGTCTACCTATCTCTTTCTCTACGGCCCTCACTCTCCCTTTCCAAGTACAACACCCTACCTGCTCTCCGTCCATCCTTCTGCTTTTCCATGAACAACAGTCCTGCTCTGTAGATACTGCTTTTCCTAAGATAGCACCTCCACAGTACTCTCCCACGCACAGGAATTGCTGCTGCCTTCCTTATTTCCTGCCAAAGAGAGCTCAACTGTCCTTACAAGGTTTCTGTTTTCTTCATTTAAAAATAAAAGGGCACTAAAATATTAATTAGGAGCTCTGGTAGTACAATCAGTTAAGTGCATGGCATTTTTATAAAACATACATTGATGTAAAAACTTACTGCCCTAGTCACTTCTGAGTGTGTAATGAAGTAGGGCTGAGTACATTTATGTTGTCCTCCAATTTATCTCACAACACTTCTCATTTTGCAAAACTAGGACTGTATCTGCTCAACAGTCGTTCCCTGTTCCTACCCCTGCCCACAGGCATCCCCCATTCCTCCTTCTGCCTTTATAAGGTAACTTCTCTCTCTTTCTCCCTTGTCTGCACTAAGAGCTGAGCAGGCCCGATAAGCACATGATGAGCTGTTGATCCCAGCCTTCTCCCCTGCAGCCTGTGCACTCAGGATTCCCAGAGTCACTGCCTCCCTTGCACTCTCCTTTGCCCATCAGCATCCTCCCATCCATAAATGTAGTCAGTGTCTACTTCCTCCTTGACACCCCAGCCCGTCCTCTAGCCACACAGGTCCCTTCTCCTCCTGAAGCTCAGGCTGTCCATTGGAAACATCAAGCAATTTAAATTTTCAAATTCTCCAGCTGCCTTGTGCCATATACCCCTGCCTCTTCCCAAAATTTCTAAGCTTTCAGCAATGAAAGGCCTACCTGTCATGCATCACAGGCACCTCCTCTCTAGAAAAAGCAGAAGCTATAGAGGAGAAACCAAGCAAATACTGGACTAATAAATGGGCTTTAACTTTCATAAAGTTATAAAACACTTTGTACCACTTTGCACCATAACTGGGCCACTCTCTTGAGTCATTTTCAAGAAAATTAATTACAGCCACTAACTTGGTCTGTTTTTGTCCAACTGCTTGGATAAGAGACTGCTCCAGTGTGTTTCCAGCAGAGCTAAATTCATAAGAATGTATTTCTGAAGTGAGCTGCCATGCCCATCTTCCAGCCCAGGAAGACATTGCTTAAGTAAAATACAAACCTAGAATTGAGTCCACATCTCCCTTATTCCACGCCTACCTCAACACTTCTCATGCTGACCAACTCTGCCCACACTGCTGGAAAGACCTCAAAGCTGGGAACGGGCATAAAGCACAGAGACCGCGCACTAGAGCAAAGCATCTTTTCCCCACCTACCTGTGTAAATGAACCTTCCTGGGGCTCCTTTGCAGAACTGTTTGGATTTGTAAGATAATGTCACTTCTACTACTCCGGGGATGTGGCGGGGAGGAGTCTGCACTCTGATGGCATGAGGGGTTATTAGCTGAGGAACAAACAGGCAGGGAAATGAAATACCTATTAGACAAGCCATCACCAAAGGCTCTGCACATGGCCTTGGATATTGATTTGGCCATTTCCAAGCCCAACACAGCACCATGACTTATCTTTTAGCAATGTGTTTTGTTTTTTCTCTGATTACAAAAGCAGAATATATCCAATTCAGAAAAGTGTGCTGTTATAGAACTATGAAAAAATTCCATTGCATAACCAGAGATAACTAATATTATTATCTGGTGTGTTTCCAGCACATTTCTTTCCACATGTGTCACAGAGTTAGAGCTTGCTTAAGCACAGCTACTGCTTAAGTAGTTCTTCTAGTTCTTTCTATCATCGGGCAAATGTAGCCCTTCCCCAGCATCATCACATTTTTTCAAAGCATAGTTTTCACTATCTTTTCTCATCATTCTTCCATAACCCCATATCTACACTTTTTCTAATTTTTCACAACTTTCTTTAATACTATATATAGTCAGTATTTGTCTTTCTGAGGAAAGAATCTGACCCTGCGGTGACCATGACCTTCTGCATGTTCTCATCCTTGGTGCCTGGACTATAATAGGTGCTCAGTCAGGTACATGCATGCAACTCATACTTCAGGGACTAGGAACTGGTTTCCTCAGAACAAAGAAATCTTTGGACCAAACGAGATTGGGCAGGCAAGTTGCCTTGGCTTACCTCACTCCATACAAGCATGGTGCCAAATACCACCTGGAGGCCGTCGAAGAAGTTATCTCCAATGATGATGACCATGGCACCTCCTGTGGTCCATCCTTCACTGGGGCTAATGGCTTTGATGCAGGGGGTGGCTGTGAAGATAGGAAAGGAACAATCAGTTCTTTCCTTTACAGGTAGAAATTTGGAGTTTGGGGAATAGACCCTCTTGGGAAGCTGTTGGTCATTCTAATAAGTTCAAGTTGAGTTCTGTTCACTTTCCGTCCTTCCCTAATTGGTTGTTGATTTTTTACCATGTCATTAAAGCCTAATGAGTTGACCACTAGACGTGAAAAAGTGAAACACTTAGCTAATTGTGCAAAGGTTGTTTTCAAAACTCTGTTGGTTTTGCCCATATTTTTATAAGTTGATCACACTAGAAAAGTGTAAATCCCTTTTCTCTCCCCACCTCCTCTGCTCCAAGATGTTAAGATTTACAAGGCCTGGTAATATGCTAGGGAGAGAAGGACAAAGAAAAATCTATCATAGTCAAAGTTGTTGGGGCTTGGAGGTGTCGTGGCTCTATCAGGGGACAATTTCTAATCACCGTCCTCACTTTCTAGGAAAGATTTTCTTCCCTTCTTCCACATGTTTGAGGCCTCTGGACTTTACATCCCGACAGGAACCCAATATGGTTTTCAGGCCATAACTAAAGTCAATCCATCACTCCATTTCCAAAGTTGACAGGGTCAAAGGTGGAGGAGAACTTTGGCAGGACTCCAAAAACACGAGCCCCCTTTGAACAGCCAGTCAATCACATCCAATCAGTCAAAAGAAACTCAGGGGGCTCCTAGCTCTGAATTCTGGGATTTTCTTCTCCCCTTTCAGGGCCCACTGTGGGAGAATTAACACCACTCCAAATTCTTTACTGATTCAATCATTTTCTTTCAGTTCATTAATTCCTATTTAAAATGATACGAGATATATTTTAAAGGCCAAGTTGGGGTGGGGCCTGGTGAGCAATATACAGGCACAGCATCATGCTCAATACAGTATTGGCTTAATTGGCCTTCCATCTGCATGAGGCCTTCCAGCACCCGTGAGTCAGAGAAGCGGAAGGAAGGTGAACAAAGGAGATGGAATTCAGTTCGGTGTGTCAGCTGTGTTCATCGATAGGCTTGAATTTTTTGGACAACTTGAAGTTTAACAGTTACCGGTATTTCTAATTACTTTAATGCACTTGGAAAACTACCCAGAGCAGCCCATGATTTCTTCTTGTCCAAGCAAACAAAAATCAATTAGTGTCAGTTTCATTCTGCGCACTGTTTTGTTTTGCCCGCAATCTGTTTAAGAACACAGCTGACACTTATTCATACACGTCTGGCACTGTAAGGGTCCTGTTTAACTAAGATGTCATAGGCCTACATTTGCCTGAAAAGCTCATCTTGCAAAAAGAAACACAGACCAGAGTGGAAGAGACTGGGACGATAAAGAGCGTTTTACTACGCGGCAGGCTGCAGGCGGTGTCTACAACAGCGCTTATGGATGCACATGGTTCTGCGCACCTCCTGAACCTGAGCATCAAGACATAAATTTGAAAGTCTAGCAAGGCAATGTGTGCAGAACTTCATTCACCTGCTGCACTCTGCCTGGGAGGGCCTACCTTCTGATGGGTCAAGCCTTCGCGCCCTCCGTCCGTGCTTGGAGTTGTTATGAACAAACATGTTGTCAGAAACAGCCAGCACATGTCCGTCCACGTTCACCGTCGTTGACAACACAACCTGAGTAGAGAAAGTGAAAGAAGGTGGGCGCTGGGGTTAGTTTCACAGAAAATAGTCAACAGCCAGAATTCTCTTTGGCACTCTTGGCATGTGCCAAATGGGAGACAGGATGGAACTTGGGAATGGCTCCCATGTTTAACAATGCGGCAGGCTTCTCTCCTCCTGAATTATAGAAGCTAGCAGAAAAGAGGCAGCCCTGAGTCCGTGTGTTGTCATATATTTGCATGCAAACTCTGCCCTGTCGTGAAGTGGGGGAAAGTGGCCCTCTGCCTGCTGGTTCCAGAAAACAAAATTCTCCATCAAATGACTGGACTGTCATTCCCAGTGGGGTCTTGGGCTGCAGCCCTAAGGTGCTGATGGACTACGCACAATCTGGAAACTCAGACACAACCAAGGTCATTGGAGGGTCCAGCTCCAAGCTCAGAAGCTAGTTGTCCTGTTTCGAATGTGTCCTGACCTCACACTGGACACCTGGATGCTGGTGTGTCCCCGCCCACGAGGGAACAGTGTCAGAGAAGATCAGACTAATGAGGAAATGATAAAGTTCCTGGAATTCAGTGTTGCAAACATGGGACATTTAGTATCTCACAGGAAGACAGGGAGGAGGTGGGTGTGGAATCCTGGACAAGCAAAGATCTGTAGTCAGAACTGAATCTGAGTCCCAGGCTGCTGCTTCCTAACAAAAGCTGGAGACAAGTTATTGAACTTTTTCAAAACTCAGTTTTTTCATACCTAAAAATATAAACAATGCTCACATCACACAGGGCTAAGTGAGATAAAATGGGGACAAAGTGAGATGATAATTGTCAAGCACGCAGGAGCACATTTTGTACATGGCCAGTGAGGACGCATTCTGTCCTGTCTGCCTCCCTGTCGCCATGTTGGACCAGTGAGTCAGACACAGGGAATTTTCCCATGGTCCAAGCCCTGGAAGAGGCTCTACAGAGGGCAGGTAGCGGCAGTTACATGGCATGGTCTCTATCCTCAGAGCACTTTGTAGAAGAAAGCAGCAAACAGAACTGTATCAAAATTGAGTCCTGAGGCAGGGAAGATAGCTTAGTGCAGCACCTGCCTGGCAAACACAAAGACCCGGGTTGGATCCTCAGGACCCCACGCCATGCTGGCCCCCGAAACTGGGCATGGTGGTGCATGCCTGTAATCCTAGCACTGTAGAGGGTGAGACAGGAGGATCACTGTGAGTCTGAGCATCATAGCAAGACCCTGTACCAAATACATACATACGTACATCCATAAGATTTTTCAGAAATTGAGTTCTTCCATGTGTGCTGAGCACAGGGCGTGGATGACATTCCAGGAGGCACAAGTCAGTAAAGTGGGACAGCAGGGAACCCACCTACCATGGACAGACTGGACTCCAAAAGGTTAGCCGACCTACACGGGAGCCTAAGTCTCAGCTCATGTCAATTATGCATGGTGATATTGTCTTTTTAAAGAATGGTGTGTGTAGGTGCAGCCCTTCGAGGAAAGACATTGAATAGGTACCTAATGAGGAGCCGTGTCCTAAAGGAACTCTTCCTGCCTATACCCAAAATGTAATTTCCTGATGCTCTACTTGTCACTGTCCTGCCATGCTATATTTAAGTAAAGGAGGAGAGGAGGGGACCTGATCCTTTCTTAATGAATCACTAGCATTCATCATCTGACCTCAAGAATTATCAAACTCAGGCTGGGGAGGTAGCACAGCAGTCTAAGTGCCTGCCTAGGCAAGCTAAGGGCCTGGGTTCCACCACCTGGTACCACATGCTGTGCTGTCCCCACCCTGGGCCTGCCAAGTCCACTACCAAAACCAGGCATGGTGGCGCACACCTGTAATCCCAGAGCAGGGGAGGCTGAGACAGGAGAATCAATATGAGACTGAGCTGTATAGTGAGACCCTGTACATAAATTTTAAAAAAGAATTGTCAAACTATTATTGATTTCATTTCACCTATATCACTGTCCATTCTTCACCTCCTCTATGTAAAGTGATGATGATCATAGGTATGGAAGGGTATTTTTTTTAAGTAAAATCTCTATGCACAATTTATGCCACTCTCTAGATGTTGAAGAGCATATCCCTTGGGAAGTTTTTGTGTCCCTTCCTGCAAAGCAATACCCCTCCTGGCGCCTTCTCCAGGCCTAGCCAAGGCAGTTCTATGTGGCATCTTTTAACATTTTAAAAATATTTGTAATGTCATAAATCAGAGAAAATCCCTAAAACCCACGAGTTCACAAATCGCTCCTCAGGCGTGCTGCAGCATATATGAAATTTTACATAGATGTAAGTGGGGTCCAATCATTCAACTCAACAGATACACACTGAGCTCCTACCACATGTCAGGTATTTTGACAGGGCCTAGGGATTCAAAGAACAAACCTGAAGGAACCTCAGTTGTCATTCAGAAAATTATCACCCATATAATTGCTCACAATTCAAGGGATGTAGGCTGTCTGGGTCTGAGTCTGTTTTCAATTGTGTCCATGTTAACATGGTAGCGTCTGAGGAAAACCCTAGATAGTTCCTATCAGGCAGTGGCAAGCATAAGACGGAGACATCCATCACTCCCAGCCAGCACTCCAAGGCACGAGTTCTTATCAGAGTGAGTCTAACAAAGTACAAGATCATGTCACAGGCAAGGGGAGAGGCTGGACCACTTCGTCTCAGAGTTACAGTGAACAGGGATGTTAAAGCCCATCATCACCTGTGTACATGCTTATCCTCCGACAGTAACAGGATAAATGGAGAAAGAAGAGGAATCACACTTATGTGTGCAAGCAGATCTGGCTACTGTCTCTGAAAAACAAAACAAAACAAAAATCCCAAAGAACACTGACAGGCTCTGACAGGCATTAGTCGTTAACACACCATGCTAGGCACATGGCAAGGAAAGGATCCTGAGTTCCTCCCAAGAGTTACGGAAGGCAAGCACCTTCTCTGGGAGACCACTTGAATGCACTCGCAAGCTTCCTGTCACTCTGCCTGCTAACGCTCCCCATGCCTTCCTGCCGCGAGCCAGAGGATTTCATCACTGTCCATTTGGGTGGAGTGAGACTTAGTTCCAAAGTGAACATTTCCCGAATGACATACCCTGGTGGCTCAGATGCACTTCATTATTTTCTATTAACAATGGAAATAAATTTTAATCTCTTGCTGGCTAGTGCTGGCCTCTTGTGACAGCGGTGGAATTAACCTGAATTATTTCAGTGTCTGCAAAATTTATTACAAGATTTTAAATTGTGTCCAAATGTATGTGCAGCACATGTGTGTCTATATGCACATATATAAGTTTTAGTCCAAGTTCTGGTTTTTCATATTTGAAATATCTTAGGCTAGGAGGCACCTAAGAGCCTGTCAATTAAACTGAATTTGCAAAATGTAATGGTTTTAATTCACAAACTCCACCACACAAAAATCAGCCACGCAGGGCTGTTGTTCTAGTACACAGACACGCTTACTTAGATAATGAATTTAGATTCATTTTTGCCACTTTTGGAAGAGTTAACTACATTCTGGAAGTGAAGATACATTTAGTTGAGTCAAAGCTTCGAATTTAACTTCCTTCACTGTTTCCTGATGAATGATGACAACGCTGATATTATTCTATTCAGAGAAGTTAAAATTACTGAATGTTTTAAGGCTAAAGGAAGTGGAACGCACATTCCAACATCATCTCACTCCCAGGCCTTCCCCGTCCACAGCCAACTTCTTTCCCCTAGTGAGTATTTCCTGGGTCATGAAGGCTGACCCTTTCCATCTGGAATCAATCAGTCAACCCCTGACAACTTCCTGAAACACCTCACTCCATTTCCTGTTCTCTCCCCCTTCTCGCTTTCCCCCTGGTTTGCTTCACTCTTCAAAACTGCAGGCCACAGCAGCTTAATGTTAGAGGGTCAGGCACAGTTAGACTCCAAAACACTACACAAGGACACCTTTGACCTTCAAAAATCTTTACATCTTAGCTAAACAAATCAAGGTCAACATTTCTTACCATTACCTTGTTAACTATTTGTATGTATCTTTACCAGTGGTCCTCTGGTCATGTAGCCATCAATACCACTTGTTCTCCTAAGATCATAAACCGACCTGCTTAAAAAAGTAGCAAATCTAGTACAGATTAGAGCCATTTGGAGGTACCTGCAACTAAGAGTTGCGGCATTAGAACAAATATAGAGGGAGGATTCCGTAGCAAAGAGCTTCTGTGCCTCCTCAGTGTCTCCTGTCACCTCAGCCTCATACCTCGTCTTTTCTCAAGCTGTCAGGCGCTCTTGGCATGGCCATTCTGCTGGCACAGCCTGAAAGAATGCCAATTAGGAATACAGATGTCCATAATTTGTGAGGGATGGACCCCAGATTTTGCTGCTGACACTGGTGACAACTTTCATTTATTTCTCATAGTTGATATATCTATACTGCAGCACAAAGCTCCAACAGCCAAGCCTGCAGATCTCAGCACCAAGTCATTGCAGGTGACAGCCCCCCTCAATGGATACCTTTCTATTCCACACAAAAGCGACCAGCAATTCATTCACAATGAGATACCCTTAGGCCAAGTTTCCAAGAAAGGGAGTCAGGATCAATTGAAATTCCTTGCATTTTGAAAAGTGAAAGTAGTCTTTGCTAGTCCTTATTTTCCTTCGATTGTAGTCTCTAATTATTTATGAAGCCAGCTAAACAAATACAGAACAAGCTGGAATGACCATGATAGATTTTGCTTCCAGTCTTCTTCTTTTTTTTTTTTTTTTTTTTTTTGGTACCAGGGATCAAGCTCCTGACCTTGCACTTGCCAGGCAGGTTCCTATGCCACTGAGTTGTATCCCCAGCCCATCAAGTCCTTTAACTACAAGGCAGTGTTTGCAGAAAGAGAAACCCATAGGAAACATTTGCATCTCCACTTGAAAAAAAAAGCAAAACAAGAAATTTCTGGAAAACACAATCTATACATATGTTAACGGTCTGCTAAAAATACTCATGAAAACTGATTGGCTTTCTCAAATTCTGT